AAATAATTACTTTGAAAAGATAAAGCACTGAACATGATGAATAACAAGAAACAAACATTATCAGCAAAGATTATAGATTTAAAATTGTGTTCATTCATATTGAAGATTAATGAAGTAGACTATCAATATTTACCCTCTTGATGGCTGATACTTTGATTTGATGTCTTTACTTTAAGCTTACACATCAGTCTCTGTGTGGTAAAATATGAAATAATATGCTTCAATAAAACTGTTTCAGTATATTAATTACATTAGATAAGTACATAGTTTTGAGCTCTATAACAATATGTGTTTCAATTATCATTCAAATATAATACCCTCTATGTTGTACAACTCACTGATTTATTAGAATTTAAGAAAAGACAATAATTAATAAAATATGTTGGATTAAAATCCATTATATTTATTATAACATATAATGCTATCTCTTGCTATAATAATTAATTTAAAAAATGGGTTATGCCTATAGTACAGTTACCTGAGGATGAAACTATGCACAGTGTATAGTCCACCGAGACTGATTAATATTCCTTGTAATTGAACATCAGTTGTAGTTATGAAATCTGGATGGCCAAACACACACTCATAGGCCTGAAAAGCAATTTACACATAGATTAGCAAGAATATCTCACAAATTATTAAATTAAAGCTAACCCCTATTTAGTGCAATCCATCAAAGTAGTAGCATTTTTGTTAAGTTGTAGACATAATATAAAGTAATGTTTGTTCTGTGATTTACATACTTTTATAAAATAGCAATCAAATTATTTATATATATATATATATATATATATATATATATGTATATATATATATATATATATATATATATATATATATATATATATATATATATATATATATATATATATATATATATATATATATATATATATATATATATATATATATATATATATATATATATATATTCATTGTAAATTTTAGTTATGTCTTGCTATTAAATTTATTTACTCGACTGATCTAAACTCACTTTATTTAAACATAATATAGTGGATAAGTATAGTGATTTTATTATTTAGCAATAAATAGCAGGCCTAAAAAAATTTAAATAGTAACGTTTGCGAACGAACACATTAAATTCTATGTATTTCCATTTCTATGTCTTTCCCAACTTGATGCATATTACTAACCAAACATTAAACTATAATCCTAAACCTGACTCTAATTACCATTTATTGGACAACCTGAACCTTTGCGATACCATGTTATAATATATTATTTTTAAAAAGAGCTTACCACTAATTACTAAAATCAATTGTTTTTAGTATTAACTGAGCCGCATACTATCTGCTGCTATTGTCATCACCAGAAATCCAGTATGTTGGCAAAGATTAGTCTCTAAGTTCCCTACAACCTCTTTCCTCTCGAGTGCGGAAAACACTGAAATCATTAATCATTATTTCATTATGCCTAATAGTTTAAAGGTAGTATTAAAGTAGTACTAAATAGTACGAGTCTTAGTTACTATAGGTCTAGTGATAATTATTATTGTGTAAGCTTACATGCTTTAAGTTTTATGCACAATATTGGTATATAATATATAGTCTATAGTATATAGGCCTATAAGCCTAAATATAACAGCAGCTTGAATAATGCTAATTAGCATGCATTCACTATAAACTATAAAGATAAACAAATATTTCAATTTAATTTAATTATAACTAATAATAGTAAATAGGCTTTTTTCTTGTGGTAACAAATTTAAAGTATAGGGCAGTACAGTTATAGTATAGATAGGCCTACTAGATTCTATATTTAAGTATGTGGGCTTTTTATTCCAATGCACCACAATAGATACCACACATGATCAAGCTGGACCTCTGATCTAAAGATTTAATAATTGGGCTTTAATAACAAACAGTGAAACTACAATAAAAATCATGTAAATTACTAATTTAACCTTACCTCCGCTTCTCTAGATTCCTATTCTATTTCCTTCAAACTTTCTTTTTATGCAGCCGTATGATTAGATTCTAGACTATATTCTAATAAACATGAAATAACTACTAACCAGAACACTAGATCTAAATTTCTATATTCTATAGAATATGTATTAAACCTATAGGCCTAATATTTATTTTAAATTCCTATGCGATGTGTCGTGAACTGTAGGTTTCATGTTATTTTTTAATGGCGGAAATCAGTTTAAAATTTCGTTTCCTCCCTTTTGTTATTCTATTTATAGATTCAAAATGGTTAGAGTCGGAGCAATTATCATTGAGTTAGTCGGCTGATCCACACAGGAAGTGCTGGTATATCTATTACTTACTCAGTGATCAGATCATTGACAGAAACAGAGATAGCCATTCGCATGGGGTGCTCTCTCTCTCTCTCTCTCTCTCTCTCTCTCTCTCTCTCTCTCTCTCTCTCTCTCTCTCTCTCTCTCTCTCTATATATATATATATATATATATATATATATATATATATATATATATATATCCAAATACATATATACACACTCGAAGAAAAAAAAGAAATATAAAGTACTTATTGTCCCAAAAAGGCTATGCACTGCCTGTTTTAAAAAACATATCTATAAATGATTTTGACTTGTGTGTTCATTTAAGCATATGCTGTCAATATACTATGAAGTCCAACACCTTGACATAACTCATTTTATTAATGGGTCAATTTAAACCAAGTAGACTTTACTTATTTGTAATACTAACAAAATTACATAATTATATGGATCATACTGTTTTTTGTATTTGAAATATTTTGTCCAACGTGCACTGATAAATATTAAAATGTGTTGTCAAGCGCATTTGATTCTTTCGATTGGGAAATGTTGTAATTGGTTCACAAATAGTTAAACTTTAAAAAAACTATTTGTTTAAAAACATTAATTTACTTGCAACAATGTAAATAGCATACTTTTAGCAAGTTTAACCAAGTAATAGTATATTTTAAACTTTATAAGAAATGGCGTATTTATTTTAGTTCATGGTGCAGTGTTGTGAATAGATTCTTATAAAAAAGATTTGGTTGGTGGATTACGCAAAAGTTTTTTTTAAATGGTAGGGGACTATTTCTTTTAAGAAATGTCTTCAGAGAAAAGTCATTATTTTTATCAGATACATTTAGAGCAGTTGATTTTCCAAAAATAGACTCAACATCTGAATCATGTTTTAAATATGTGGCCGTGTAACATGTGTTTGTGAGTCATGATCATGCGACTGTTAAACATAGAAAGCGTGGGTTGTGTATAGATCGATTTTGTGAGTCGTGTCGGTCTACATCTCTAGCAAACTGTATAGAACAATTAAGGATTTGTTTATTTGCACAAGGCTGAGCTGATCAACTAAGGTCATATTCAACAGTGACAACATTTTTCTCCGATGAGGGGGGGGGGGGGCTGAAAATGGGAAAATAATATATTTTCTATAGAAATTGTATTTCGTAAAGGGGGGGGGGATGAACGACTTCAGTTGCCCTTCAGATGTGTTATGTTGTATTGCTACACATACTGGCAGTGAGACTTGTGGAAAAAAAACACATTTTCTCTATGCTATTCTTTTGTTGATTTAAATTCTTTAAAAAATCTAGATGAAGTAGAGTTCGCCCGTTTCTGTGACCTCGGCACTTAAAGGTGTCAGGTGGTAGTTCTAGAGTTATTTGTGATTATAATTTCATACTCATTACATTTAAATGTTTAAACACTACTCATATTATGTAAGCCATATGCATGCATATTATTCAAAACTACAAATATAGATGGCGCACGACTAACCAGACATTATATTTAATAATTTTTTTTAATTAGTGCCACAAATATGGCGAGCACCTACATTTATATGCACTTCGAATATATATATATATATATATATATATATATATATATATATATATATATATATATATATATATATATATATATATATATATATATATATATAGCAACGCCATTGTTACTAAGCATAATGAAGCGCATTCATTCAAGCATAGTTTTAACTGACATGGACACAGTGTTTCTTCCAGACTTTTCTTCTCCGGGGTGGGGGTGTTGGGGTGCACTCCGGGGGGACTAAAATTTCCGGTATAATTTTGTTTTCAGCATAACAAGAAATTAAAAAAAATTGTTATACATCACGTGTAACACGGAAGGGGCCTTAATGAGGTCTGACAGGACTAAACACAAAGAAGATGATAATCCTAGCCACCAGTTTTTATACCTTCACCAAAGTGGCATGGCATAGCAACTGATATTTAGCCATTTTTCAACATGGTTTCTATATTATGAGCTTCGGTGAGAATATATATCTCTTAATGTTCTTTGATAAGTTACCAATACAATAAAAAATATATTTTACTTGGAATTCAACATCTTTTTTCAACAAACGTTAAAAGCAAAATGCAAATAATGTAAATACTATGTTGAAGTACACATGTTTCTTTAATCCATTCAAATTAAACTGGATTAAAACAAGTGACAAAATCGTAGTCTTTTGGTTTTGTGTTATTTTGTTTGCGTCACAGAAAAAAGACTATTGTTTTGTATTTGAAATATATAATTTTCAATATACAATCATTAATGTTGATGATGTTTTAACTAAAAGTCACGCAAACTAAAATTTACACAATATTTGAGAAGATAAAAATTAGGTTTAGGCTTACCTACGATTGTTTAGGCTTATTGAAAAGGGTACTATAAAAAGCCCCTCCAACAGACCCTCCAACAGCCCCTACAGGAGCACCAAAGGGACCAGCAACCGCTACACTAGCTAATACTCCCACTGTAGCTCCAATTAAAGCATTACTTGCAGTTTCGCGTGATAGTATTTTTAAATCCGATGTAAATCCTCCGACCGCGGAAAAATAGTTGTTTGTTGCTTTCTTTTTTATTTCTTGATAAGTCGTTTCTTGAATTTCTAGCTGACAATTAAGTTTTTTCATTTGTTCTTCTCGACATTTTTTAGCAGCAGCGCTTTCCTTTTCAAGTTTGTCTATGAACCTTTCTAGCTCTGCGCTTCTCTCTTAGTTAAATTTTTCCTCAGTTGTTTTAATCTGTTCCCTCTCTCGAATCACATCTTGACACGAAACAATCAGATCATTAACGGCTGTTTTACTGTTTTGCACATTTTCCCATATAAATTTTAAAGCACCCGTTCCTTTATCCTTAGTTTCTATTTCTTGAATTAAGTTTTCAATGTGAGACAAAAGCTGCTTAAACGAGTCAATTTTCTTTTGTTCACCAGGTTCACTTTGAATAAGATTTATTCTGTAAAGGATTATTTTATGTTGCACTAGTGTTTCTTTTTCAATCATTGGGACACTGGCAGTTACATACAATAGATTACGTTCTTTTTCAGCTTTTTTAAAATGTTCATTTGTGTATCTTTCACCTTTAGATGGAAGTTGATCCACCATTGTAACCAAATCTTTCACTTGTTGGTATTTTACAGCTTCATCTGTTGCTCTATTATTGAATAAAATTATTCTACCATTGCATTCTTCCAAAAGCGTTTTAAATGATCCTACTTGTCCTGAGCAATAATCTTTACATGAAACTTTTTTATCGCAATGATCATGTAGAAAATCATCTCCACCGCACATTATAACGATGCCATATGTTTTAAGAAATGATTGCCCTAATATTCCTTTTAAAATATTAATCGCTTTCTCCTCCTCATTTGTGTGACGGAGGCCATACCTAAGAACAAGCAAAAATGCATGAAATCCCTCAGGATTTATTTCTAAAGCTTTAACTATTGCATTTACAACTAAATCTATTGCTTTCGTTTCCTCAACACCCGTTTCATTAGTTCCTGGAGCATCAACGACCTCTATTATTCTATCTTCAAATTGGCAAACTTCAAACTGGGCGTCTTTAGTTATTGAAGTCATGGAACCAGTTGATTCGAACATTTTACTTCTAAGTATAGAGTTTCCAGTTAAGCTTTTACTATTTCCAGTTTTACCAATTAAAACTAGGTCTGTTTTCTTTGATGTGTCCATTTTGACCTGAAATATAAAACAAAAATCGGTTATTGATTCACACATAAGTAATTTTTACAAACTCTATTTCAAATGATGATGTTAATTTAATTAATCTAAATTTGTAACTGAGGCAGCATTCGGATTGCGAACAGCCACATGGGCCATAGAGACATAAAGATAATCTTGATTACAATTATGTGTTGCAATTATTTCAAATAAATATATTCTAATATTATATAGTCCATCATCGTCGTCCAACACAATTACTTAAGTGTAAATGGAAAACCCTTATGCCGTATACACGCTTATTTATGATTAATATACACCATTCATAGTCCTGTCCTCTTAAAGTTCAAAGTTTGTCAGTTTCAAATTTAATGTTTATTGTACAGAATCTCACAACCGGCTTAGTAAGCCTATATTTTACCCAAAATTACAACAACAAAAAAATGTTTCATGATAGTAGGCGCAGCTGGAAAAGATGGTTATTGTCAAGCAGGACTACGAGAAACAGTGTCAGCCAAGCACGAATAAGGAGGACTAAATATTACTAAATAAGAAAAGTGATAGACAACATGAAGACATTGATGGGTTTAACACTGGGAGCTGCACTGAGGAGTGAGGAAGACAGAGCAGAATAGAAGAATACTACCACAAGACAAATAAACCGGGATTGATCCCCCCTAAACTTTCTCGAATATTCTTATATAACACTACGTGGGATTGCAACTCGGAATATAGACATGATTTTTAATTACTTAAACTTTTAAAAATAGAATAGAATCTCGTAGAAAAAAGAATTGCGCACCAAGCGAACGCCAAAACAAAATATGCAAAATAGTGCGGAATATATGTTTAGTGCTTTATAAATTTATATGCGTTTTTTTGAGAAATCGGAAATAGCGTAAATTACTACTTTCGGTAAACGGAATTTACTCAAAATTTGATCGAAAGTAGAGGATTAGATCTTTTACTTACGTGTGAAATTTCATTTATCTATCTGAAATAGTACTCAAGTTATAGGCTTTTAAAAAATTCAAAGTAGAAAAAGTTGATACAGATCTACGATTTTGATAAAATACTATATATGAAATTTCATCAACCTAGCTATAACGGTACTCAGGTTATCGTGTTTACAGACACAGACACACACATATACACACATATACACACACAGACATACGAACAAGATTGCAAAATTATGTTTTACCGACTCATGGAAGTGTAAAACGTCGAGATTTGTAAAAATCTCGATTTTTTTTTGCACGATTACAATACTTTCTCTATACTTCGTATATACGAGACAGTAAAAAGATGGTCCAAAACTCAACCTAGAAGAAAAGATACGATACATTTCAGTGGTACGTAAACTCCCATTTTTTGTTTTCTTTCGTTAATAAGTTTTAAGACTGTCTTAAGATGTGTAAAAATAAATAATCAATGTCGAAACCCATTAGCTCAGGATTTCCTAATATGCCAAACACATTCTAAGGTTTTCATAAATAGATACAAAATTACAAGAGGCTTTGATTAAATCAGAATTTCTTGCATTCTAACTAAGCCAAGTAGCCCTAATCAAATGCATTGCATTACCGTTGTCATTACGTTGAATAATTTAAAAACAAAAATAGATCAAATCTAGGTAATGTTCCCCAAATGACAGTAGCTGGTGTAGATCTATTTTTGGAATTAAAAATAAAAGTATTGCATATGTATTGATTCTGTAACTTTGTATTAATTGCATATATTACTGATTTTTTTTTTGAAACTAACTATAACAATACCTGCCCGCGTTTCAGTGGAAAATGATGGACTTCGACGGTTTGGATATCAAGGTAAAACTTTTATAATATCTCATGACACATTCTGTGAAAGTTTCATTTTCGTTGAAACAGTCGTTTTCTTCGAATTTAAACATTGAAAAATCGATCTTAAAACATACAGGACTGTGTAGATGTGTTCAGCACAACTCAAGTGTAACAGATGTGTCTCATTATTCATACAGTGGATAACATAGCAGACATCTATCTCTTGCTCTCTGTCTCTGTCTGTCTCTCGCTCGCTTTATATATATATATATATATATATATATATATATATATATATATATATATATATATATATTAGTTGGAAAAGTAAATTGACGGGGGGGGGGGGGGGGGGTGCAAATCGAAAGTTTGAGGGGGGGGGGGTGCAAATCGAAAAGTTTGTCCCCGGGCGCCGGGAAGGGTCGCTACGCCTCTGGATTATGCAGAAAACTAAATGGAAAGGGACTATTTATTTTGAAAAATATCTTAAAAGAAAAGTCATTTTTATCAGGGTTGGAACTATAATGCCGCCAGTCCCCCTAATGAGGAGGGGGGATGGGGGTGGGGGGCAGGTCGTTTAAGGAGCCTGCAATCCGAACAAAAAGCAATTTCTTTGTATTCCAAAATTACGTAATCGAGCACCTTGATAGGTTTTGTAAAAAACAAACACATCTACAACAGTAGTGATGCTCTACAGTAGCTAACAAAAATTGTCGTGTAGAAGAGAAAAATTATACATGCGCTGTAGTGTAAAGGATAGGCAAACGTTTAAACCACTTATTTCCCTTTTTTTTAATAGTGAAATAGTATTGACCATAAGCTTCTTTTAATAGTTTTGTAGTAAGCAAATTAAAAAGGAATTACTTTACTTAATTATTATTTAAAAATATATACCAAAGAATGACATAGCTGCAAAAAGGAATTTAAATAATAATAATAATATAAATAAGAAAAAAAACATACAAATATACACAAGAGAAACCATTACACATAAAAAGTTTTCATGTTACATATACCTGAGACCGATTGTTTTCAGGAAGCATTACAGCAGACTTAAATTGAGAGGCAAAGATATTAAATTAAATTTAGTTGGCGTAGTTCACTTGATTCACGCCTGTCCACCCCTACCCATACTCAACTATCACACACCATATGTACGTTGTAATGAAACGAATCACTGAACCTGAACCCACACATACCCACCTCCACTTCAATGATTTTGCCCAATGGCTCCTCCTCTCGCTCGACTTTGAAGTTTTTCATTAGCTCGTACTTACTATTTAATACCCCCCGTATACACATTGTATAGGCTATATATGTTGTTAAAATAGTCTAAACAGCATATTTGTTTTTTTTTGAATGCATATAGGCCTACTTGTAATAACCTTTTTAGATTATTTATTAGGAGTCGGCGTGTTCGAGTCGGTAAAGCTGATGGTTGGTAAACCGAAAAGTCTCGAGTTCGAACCCTCGGGCAGATGAGGCTCGTTAGCTGGGGACAGCCACTCTTCTAGGAGAGACAACTCTAAAATCAAACAACTGCTACCTTATAGTTTGTTCTTGGATGGACAAAGGCTATGGAAGCAAATCCAAAAAGAAAAGCAGGCTGAAATCGCAGTCAATGGCCTCAATGGCGCATAACTAGTTGACATGTATGCTTAATTGTGTTGGAGGTGTGGCCCTATTTTCTAGTTCCGCCACATATTTTTATCTGTTACATTTAACAGGAACGTTGGTTTTCCTAAAAATCGTCTCAAACTCTGAATCATGTTTTAAAATAGATGGCTTTGCAGCATGTGTTGGCGAGTCATGATCGCGCGACTTTTAAACATAGAAGGTGTGGCTTGTGTATAGATTGGTTTTGTGAGTGGTGACGATCTACTTCTGTAGCAAACTGTATTATTAGAATTATTCTCTTTGCACACAGCTAGAATAGTTGATCTACTAAGTTCATATTAAAAAGTATTAATAAGTTTTCTTCTCCGAGTCTACTTTTACTGGGCCTAATTTGCACAAGACAGAGTTGATCAACTAAGGTCATAGTCAACAGTGACAACATTTCTCTCCAAGTCTATTTTTTATAAAGCATTTTGATTCTTTAGTTGCCCTTCAGATGTGTTATGTTGTATTACTTTATTATTTTCAGTCACAGTATTGGTAGTGTTGAATTCACAAATTATGAATTACTGAAAAATAGAAAATAAAACAACCAAATATCGGCGTATGTAACAACACGGGTCAGCTCGTATCTGTGTAATTTATAAAGCTGATTGTAAATTTTGGGTATTTCAGAGATGATGGAAAATACGATTATCAAATACATGAGAAATCCAGCTTTCCAATGATGCCATATACAATATGATGACTGATATAAAACTTGTCGTAGAAAGCTTGTAAGATGGGTAGAAATTGATTATTTTTTCTATTAATAGGGTCATAAAAATGGTATTTTAAACACATCATTTTTTCATTAAAGTTATTATTTTTTAATACAAATTTGGACAAAGTATCCAAAAGTGCAAGAAACACATTATGACGGAAAATCAGGATTTTCGTGGTTTTTTTTAATGAGCTTTTCCCCTTCAAAGTCTAATAAGATATAATAAAGTTATACATTTAATTGAATCAAAAGTTTACTAAATCCTATTTTAAAGGGGAGATAACAAGATTAAATACACGGATGATTGGATTCACGCCCGAGAGCCGAACAAATACTTAGAAGGGTCAGATAGTTGTCTTTAAGAAATCGCTGATCATGCATTAAAGGTTGATGTCGTGTTCTAATTTAACTCCTCCGTTTTTTAATGAAGAAAAGTTAAAAACAAATTTTGCTCACTTTAGTTTGATACTAATTTCAGTTATGAAAGAAAATCGTAAGTTTATGAAATGCTTGTTTTTTTTTATTAAATATTTAATAATAAAATGCTTACGATATAAAAAAGTGTTCTTTGCTACAATACAAGTCTAATTAGAGTACATCGAGCTAAGACCTTTTTTATACATTGTTTTTAAAAAAACATATGTGTTTAATTATTTTGTTTTTAATTCCGACTGGCGGTTTAAATAAATGTATAAGAAGGGGAAGTAACTCAACTCAATTATAAATAATGACAATTTAAA